ATCACTGGTATGCCGTTTCGGTGGACATCCGCGTTTCAGCGTGCGAGCGCAGAGGACCGGGGTTGTGGAAGATGTATGCGGCACAGGCCAAGATGCCGGGGGTCAAGAAGCGGATTCAGCTGATCATGGGGGAAGATCCGCAGCAGCCGCTCCCAAGTTTTCCCGAGCTTCTGGTTAAACTGCAGTCAAGCATACGTGTATACGCAAAAGAGGAAAAGAAGAGAGTGAAGAAAACAATGGCGCGGCTGGAGGCGACAGTGTCGCAGCTGAAAGATGAGTTTATGAATGGGGATGGTGGTGCTGACTGCTACGAGCAACTGGCCAAGTACGGCTCCATGCTGAAAGCGTATCAAGACGAGGAAAGGGAGCGTCTACAAACTATGGCGGGAGTGCAGACGGAAGTACTTGGGGAACTCCCTTCTCCGGTGCTGTCAAGTCGGATTGCATCTAAAAGGGCGCAGACGATGATTGAGGAAGTCAACTTCAACGGTGCCTGTTTCACGGGGGAGAGGGAAATTCTCATCGCGGCCTCGGAATACTTCACGGCAGCGTTTGCAGCCCGAGAGGCAGAGGCGAGTACTGTTTGGCCGGTCGCCCCTGGCAAGACACTCAGCGCAGCAGAAAGAGAGGGTTTGAGGGTCCCTTGGACGGTGGAGGAGGTGAAGTTAGCAATCCAACAGCTGCCATGCGGCAAAGCACCTGGCCTGGATGGACTTCCGAAGGAGTTGCTGGAGGAGAACTGGGATCTGCTTGGCTCGTGCTTCATGGCCTTTGTAAAGGACTTCGAGAGGTCAGCGGTGCTCACGGAGCAGTTTACGACGGCGGTGACAATACTCCTGCACAAGAAGGGGGACAAATCGATGTTGGAGAACTATCGGCCCATTACACTCTTAAGCGCGACATACAAAATTGTGGCGAAGGTGTTGGCGAACCGGATCAAGAAGGTGCTGCCGTCCGTGATCTCGGACCACCAATATGGTTTCTTACCGGGGCGAAAGCTGGCAGATGCAGTCAATGTTGTCGCTGATGTCATCGACGCGGCGGCAGCGGGAAGAGAGGATTGGTACCTTCTCTTGGTCGACTTCCAAAAGGCGTACGATTCGATCTCTCGGAGATACCTGTTTCAGACGCTTACACGAATGGGCTTCCCGGAGGAGTATGTGAAATGGGCGGAGGGGCTACATGATCACTCCGGAACGCAGCTGCTGATCAACGGCCGGCTGGGAGACAGGGTGGAGATGGAGAGAGGAGTCAGGCAAGGGTGCCCTCTCGCACCGTACCTGTTCATCTGCGCAGCTGAACCACTGAGTCAAGAAATCAGACGGAGAAGGCTGGGGGTGTGGAAGAGAGGTGTTGGTGACGTGGCATATTTGGGTTACGCGGATGATACATCGATCGTTCTGCATCGCAAGGAACAAATCGACAAAGCATGCAAGCTGCTGGACGACTTTGGGGAGATCTCGGGGCTGAAGGTGAACCGAGGAAAGACAGTTGTGGTGCCGCTAGGCAAGAACAGAGGTTTACCTCCGCCGTCGGATGTACCATACACCTGGGCTGGGATAGACGAACCACAAAGACTCCTGGGGATCTGGATAACCTCGGGTGGTAACCCGGAGCCATCTTGGGAAAAGGCGGCTGACAGAGCGGGGGAAGTGCTGGTGAAGTGGCAGAACCAACACGTTAAAACTTCGGCGAGGGTATCGGTGCTGAACTCGTACGCCACCCCTATCCTTCTCTTCCAGGCGCAAGTCTACCCGCCACCGAAGGGGACGTGGAAAGAGTTCAGAGCCACCAGCCACAACTTCACGTCCAGCGGCAAAGCCTCAGCAGACAAGCACTTTGTCCTGTGGAGTGGGGAGCTGGCTTACATGGACAGGAAGGAAGGAGGTTTGGGGGTGATCAACCCGACAATGCGGGTGGAATGCATGGCGCTGAAGAATCTGGGTGACGCGGTACAGCAAAGAGATCAGATGAAACGATGGTTGATGGAGAGGGCAGCTGGGATGCCATTTGGATGGGCGACTCTGCTTGCTCACCGTTCAATCCTGCGAATATGGAACAAAGGGGGGGAAAAATGGCGGAGGTCGGTGATTACTTTCTGGCAAGTCCTGCAGCAGAAGATTCCCGCGCCTGCGAACCGGTGGGACTATGCAGCAGAAAGGATCTGCTTCAGCAGATACATTTTCTATCGAGGGAAAAGCCCATTTGGAAGGCAGAAGGGCTCCATATGCCTGCTGGAGCTGACCGTGGGAGACTTGGTGCAGACGGACTGGGATGGCACAAAAAGGGCGAAAGACATGTGGGCTCTAACTAAGGAGACAGGCAGCTCGACAACGGCACGATGGGCTCTCAAGGCTTGGAAGGCGGTACCAGGGGAGTGGAAGGAAGCCCTCCTTGCGAGACTGACCGGGGGTGAAGTTCTGAAGCTGACGCGCTTCGCCTGCACGCGTTCTCTGGCAGGCAAACCTCTGTACTGGCAGCTATTAGCAGAGGATGGCGATGGAGTCCTGTGCAAGCCGGCGGAGGTGGGGAAGAGAGGGGAACTACTTCTGTCGAACAGAGCAAATCAACTCCGAGTCGAGACCCGCAGACTAACTCCGTTACTGGTGGAGAATGACCTGCTGATGGGAGAAGCGGGGCTCGCGCTCACAAGGTTGAGGCTGTCGGTGCTATGTGAGAAAGGAAAAGGGGCCACTCTGAAGAAGCCGAGGGCGGTTCTGAAAGGGCCGGTGGAGCAGCCGAAGCAGCAGAAGAAGTGGGAACAGGAGTATGGGAAGCCTGTGGATTGGAATGGGGTTATCCGGAAGAGGGACACCCTGGTTACCCCGGGCAGCGCGCGCGAAATCATTTTAAGGCTTCATAGCAAGAATCTGCAGGTGGGGGAGAGACTGAAGTTCATGAAGGATCGCATCAGCTGCCCGCACTGTGCAGAGGACGAAACCCTAGCCCACTGCTTGCTGGAGTGCGGCTGTATACAGCCTGTCATCGGCGCGGTTAAGGGGGCTTTGCAGCAGATGAATCCAAAAAGGGAGGTGGAGAGACTCGAGGACTTCCTGTTTGGGGCGGATGGCACGATGTCAGGTTTTCCGGAAAAGCCGCTGATTGCGGTTGCCTTTCACCAGATCTGGCTGGAACGCTGCGAAGCTGCCTTTCGACAGGGGAGATTTCAACCACAGAGAGTGCTCCGGAAGATTGGGGTGAACTTCATGAAGCATGTGAGGATCTACAGTGCCTACAAGAGACAGGTGGCAAAGAGTGATGGGCGGAGTGGGGCAAGGGGTTGGCCTCACCTGGCACAGGACGAGGCTGCAATGCTGAGCCGGATTTTTGAAGATGGGAATTCGCTGACGTGGAGGGAAGGTTTCAGATCCGTGTGGGCTAACCCGAGAACTGCCTTCCAGCCGCCTTAGAGTGTTACGGAAGGGCTGAGTAGACTCCCTTGTCTTCCTGGTCCCTTCCTCCCTCACAGTTACGACTGTGGATGTACACACTCTATAGTGCATTGCATCATTAAAAAAAAAAAAAAAAAAAAAAAAAAAAAAAAAAAAAAAAACATTCGATTGTGGGAAGCTACGAACCCGAATTGCTCGAGCAATTTGCGAGGCCGTGTCTTCCGCCTGTCATTCTGCCTGTTGATTCATCGCCGAGCCTAGGGGTGATCAAAGTACTGCACCAGATCCACGTCGAGGGAAGTCGGTGAATCCTGACGGTTGGAACCGTTGATCCGAGGGTTGAAAATCATCGACGTTCCTCGACATCGAGCTGGTGCACAACTGTACACTGTACTTTAATCACCCTAGCTTGACTGCACCTTGCCCTGACTTCTGGCGGTTCGTGCCCAGCATGGTGGTTCTGCGCGTCGTTTTCTGCCTCGACATGACCGCACCACACACACACACACCACCGCTCTGTGGCATAGACGCGGTTCAGCCATGGCAAGATTGGGATTCGAGGGTAAACCGTACTAAAACCGTTATTTAAACCTACAAATCAGCTCGAACTCTTTTTGAAACCTCCTAGGAAGCTTCGTCATGATCTTTTCACTTCTAACACGTCACGCGCACACTTTAGTTACGATAACCATGTTTGTAAAAATATACGCAGCAGAAATTTGCATGTAAATTTCAGAATTAAACGGATTTCCATAAATGACGGCTCAATTTACGTTATCACGGGATTAGAGGGAAGCACTTGCAAAGAAATTTAGAACTAGCAATATGGAAGAAAGCCAATTCAGCCACCATGCTAGGATCAGCCTGCATATCTTTTGTGTCACCCCATGATATATCCTCCAGTCCTTGATTGCCCTAAGTGTGGCTCGTCCTGGACAAGTATCAACTATCTTACTTCTTTTTCTCAGCAGCGGCAGCCTTGGTCTGCATCAACGAACATAATTAGCACGACTATGGATGTTAGTAGACAGCAAGTTTTAAACTCAACAAACCCAATTAAAAAAAAACACGAACACGCATAAAACAGCAAAAAAAGGGGGGGATGTTGCTGCTGCACTCACCTTCTTGACACCGCGGACCTTCTTGGCTCTTGTCCTCCTCTCCTTCATCAGCTTGCGGCTCTCCTTGTTCCTCTTCTCCTCCAAGCCATTCTGTTCCAATCAAAACAAGGCCACCACAGCAACAACCACCGAAGAAGCATACACACATGAAAGGGGTTGGGGAAGAGAGGGAAGAGGTACGCCAAGGGGGGAAAAAAGCACCAGGTGGTTACTTAGCATTACAAAGAATTGTGAGCTTCAACATGGGGAGGACAACTTGCGAGCCCACATTGATTTTGCTGCTCGCAAATAAGTGAGCACTAGTAATTCCTGCATAATGACAACTCATACCTCATAAACATGAGTGGGCACTCCACTGTAAAGCAGTGGAAATGGAAACGACGCCATTACCTCATTTGCACATCTCAAGTCTACATCACGTTCAACTTACCCGTTCGCATAAACATCAAGAAACACTCACTCCTACAGGATTCGAACCCGCGACCTCTCAGCTGCTCACCCTGACTAGGCGGTATTTGGGCTCAAACTTCTTGCCGGCCTCGAGCTGGTCGTAAATGAAACCCAAGCCCGTGGACTTGCTGCTGCCAGTAGATTCACCTAAAGAACACCCTCTCCTACCGGACTCGAACCCACGACCTCTCAGCTGCTCAGTGCTCACCCTGACGAGGCGGTATTTGCGCTCGAACTTCTTGGCGGCCTCGAGGTTGTCGTAGATGAGCCCGAAGCTCGTGGACTTGCTACCACCAAACAGATTTACCAAAAAACACTGTTTCCTACCGGAATTGAACCCACGACCTTTAGGTTGCTCACCCTGACGAGGCGGTATTTGGGCTCGAACTTCTTGGCGGCCTCGAGGTTGTCATAGATGAGCCCGAAGCCCGTGGACTTGCCGCCACCGAACTGCGTGCGGAAGCCGAACACGAAGATGCACGACAGGTCGCTCTTCTCGTAGATGGCGCCCAGCTTCTCCTTCAGCTCCGACTGGCGCGCGGAGACGCGCGGAAGGGGAGGCGGAAGCGCAGGAGGGAGCGGCGGGGGGGGAGTAGCGGGAAGGGGCGGGGGGGAGAGAGGAGGAAGGGGCGGGGAAAGGGATGGGGAAATGGGAGGGAGGGGAGGGAGAAAGAGAAGGGGAGAGAAAGAGGGGGGAGGGATGGGGAACCGGAACAGAGGGATGTGATTTTGATCAACTACGACTCCAGGGAGGACAAGAGGAGAAGGGGAGAGGGGGGGTGTGGGGCGGGAAATGGGGGGATAGAGTGGGGCACGGACATTCAAAGGGGACGGGCAGTGGAGAGAAGGTGCGGGGAGAAGCAGAAGCGCAAAAGCGAGGGGTAGTGAAGGGGTTGAGAAGTGTGGAGAGGGGCAAGGGAGACGGGAGGGGGAACTGGGGCAGGGGCGGACATTATAACGGGACGGGGCTGTGGAGAGAAGATGCGCGGAGAAACAGGGGCGCAAGGAAAGCGGGGGAGTGAAGGGAAAGTAGAGATAGGCAAGTGAGACAGGAGGGGATAGGGACGGATGAAACGCAGGAAACAGAATGACAAACTGCGCAAGTAGGGACGCGGTATAAATGGCAGGAAGGGGTGAGGACTGCAAAGCGGGAACGGCCCTAGCTGAGAATGGAGCACGCAGCAGGTGAGAATGGAGCACGCAGCAGGGGAGAGTAAATCGCGCTGCAGAGGAGGCACACAGAGAAACGCGGGGAGCGGGGGAGGAGTGTACCTTGGACACGTTGGCCTTGCCGGGGTGCAACACGTCGATGATCTGCCACGGCGGACGCACGGGAGGGGGCGCAGGAAAGACAGGGAGAGCGGCGTGAGAAGGGATAGCCCGACATAAGGGAGAAGAGGCGAATGCTCAGCAAACGGAGGGAGAGAGTGCGAAGAGGGAAGGGGGAGAATGGAAGGAGGAGATAGGAAGGGGAGTGGGGGTAGGGTAGGGGGTAAAAAGTGTCTGCTAAGCGAGTATAACGCAAAAGCGGTGGGTGCAGCGATTGGAACGATAAAGGCAACGGAAAGGGAGGGTCAAGTTGCGAAGGGTAAATCTGGCCTTCCCGGAAACATAGGCATGCCCCAGCTTCTGATGAGTTTTTTTTTCGAGAGTAAATAGGCATGAGGCAACCTAGAAACGGGCAGGGGTTTTTACAGCCGACTTGAGAACGTCGCCACAACGCATGTCACACGGGGTAAGAGGAGTGTGGAAAGGGAACGACAGGTGAGCCCTGATCGCTTCCGGTACTCATTAGCCGCGTGACAGCGGAACCCTAAAATAATGTATTTCGGCTAAAATTGACGAAACTGGTGCTCGTCTCGTACGCTCACCCTCGCGTCGACGCTACATCCCCAGCTGCCCTAAATGACAATTCCACTATGCGGTCCGTAAATCTGTAACCTAACAGATCTTCGAATGCAGAGCTGCACTGCCCATCTGAACCAGCCGCCGCATACTCCATTGTGGGCGCTAACACTAATACACTCCTTTGCGCAGAGCCCTAGCATTACTAGGGTTCGAAACGCCACGCCCCAACCTTGAACGTGACGAATCACACCGAGGACTATGCCTTCAGACGCCAACACGCCGCTGTCTACGATCGACCTCAAAACGAACGCTCCTGCGACTACGACGAACCCTAAAAGATGCGACCGTGAGGCTCTGCGATACTTTTTCATCAAATTACGCGACGGCGCGTCACTCGCGCCACACCCGTGTGCAAAAACGGTAAGAACAAGAATCGAATTTGTTATCGAAACTACTCCAAGCCTGCACTCCCGAGTCTAGACTACAGCCGACTGATCGATCACACAGGCAGGGAGAATAATGCGCTCTCCCATTGAGCTATGCGCACACTGATGGCTCCGTGGCTAGCGCACCTAAGCTTCAAACGACACAACGTCGCAGGGCCAAGGCTAACGGGCAAAACGCGCCACGAACTATGCTTGATTGTGCTCGCGCCACGAAGTATGGTCGGCTGTGCTCATGATTCGCCTACAGGCCAAACCAAGCTTACTACGATTAACCTAACCCGGAGTAAACGCGTTAATAAGGAAGGAACAGGGCCGGGGAGGACGCTCACAAACTGCTTCCGCTGCAGCAGACGGTTGGTCATGAACTTGCGCGTCCGCACGGTGCAGGCCTTTGCTTCCGCCATGGCTGCGGCTCTTATATTCTCCTTAAACTGGGAAAGGGAAAGGCTACGAGTGGTACTTAAAGTGCTGCAGCAGCGCCAGTTGCGCGTGCGGGAGATACGGAGACCCGAGAGGAAGAAAAAGGTCCGAAAGGATCCTAGAATATGCGGGAAGAGGTATGTGTAGCAGGCGAGGGGGGAATTACTACGGGGGGGAGAAATGGGAGAGCTGGCGGATAGGGAGTTTGCGCGGAGAATGCGGAAAGTGCGACAATGCAGGGGAAAATCACGAGGGGAAGGGGGGGGGGGGGGGAGTTGTTTGTCAGGGTGAGGACGAGGTGTTGGGGTTTTTGGGGACAGAGCTTTTGGGCTTCGTGTTCGACCTTGCAGCCCGATGAGATCAATCTCGTTATAGGCGGACTCTCTTTGAGCACGTGCACGAACTGATTGAATGTCTAAACTACACCTATTTATGTAAAGACCATTGCCAATGTGCTGTGCTGGTAAAATACCTTCTGTTATGCTCCCAGATAAATAAATATAACGCTGGTAGCTGGTGTGATCGCAAGTTAACGGGCCACATCATGGACGTTGATTACATACTTAATCTTGTCCTAGAAAGTCCCCTCCCGTGTGCCATGTCTCACATTTATACAGGCCATAACTTTTGCATGTGTGTTAGTGATCAACCCTAATCAGACGTACAGTAAGATAATAATAATAGAGTATACGAATGGGCCTGCAACTCAAACTACATGCTCCACTTTGTCTAAAAGTTCGTGCATCATATCAGAATGTGATGATGGCTGGTCTACCATATTCAATCCTAACCCCCGGATTATGGTACAGCATGGCAACGGTTCTAGCCGTAGACCATGATCACGTGCATTTTGCCATCATCTCTTTTATGCTCGCTACTTGCTCGTCAGTAGGTGTACCCACACCCCACTCCTCATAAGATGTCATGTCCTCTGCCAAGGGAGCCACGTCACCCACAGCATGGCTCGACAGAATGTTCTTGAAAACAGGCTCCTTGGTGCTTGAGCTTGTCCCCCCCAGCTTGACATTGTTGAGGGAGATCCCAGTGCAGGGCACCGTATCGCTACACTCCATATCCATCGCATACCTGCAGTAACGGAATGGAGAAGGGAATGCGGCAGAGCACTGTACCAGGTCAGCACAAGCTTGCTTGGCATGTGACTATGGACGAGTGGATCACAGCAGCACGATGGTTTAAGGGAGGCACGAAGAGAGAAGGTGCTGGAGATCCCCTGACTTGGAAGCGGTGCCGTTGACGATTAAATGCTGTGGATGACTCATAAGGCGCCTTTTGAGTCGACTGGAAAGATATGTATTTGGTGGAGCAAGGAGCCACTCACTTGGAGGCGGTGCCATACACATGGGTGTACGAGATGTTCACCAGCGCCACGTTGTGGGGCGATGGGTCGCAGGGGAAGTCCTGATTGTCGTCACAATAGAACTGCAAAGTGTTGATGGGGATGAGAGGAAAAAGGGCACGAGGGGGGGTTTGAGGAACTTTTTGGCACTTGCTGAACTTTTTGCACTTTTTGGCACTTTATGGCACTTGCTGAACTTTTTGCACTTTTTGGCACTTGCTGAACTTTTTGCAGGCTTGCCATCACAGCAGAGCCACGCTGCGGGGCGATGGGTCGCAGGGGAAGTCCTGATTGTCCTCACAGTAGAGTTGAGGGGAAAAGACACATATGGGGGTTTGAGGACCACTATGGAACTTGCCGATTTGTTTGTGGACTTGCCATCAGAGTAGTGTTGCGGAGATTTGAGAGTGCGAAAGAGAGTGAGACACACAGCAAAGCATGAGCAGGAATCAAGGATTTCGAAAGAAAGCGGCGCAGAGTAGTGCGGGTTGAGAAAGGAGGTGCAGAGTCGGACTTACCTGATCTAGTGTAATCGCTCGTTCGATGTTTGTCATGTACACGTTCTCGTACTGTACATTCCGCACCATTCCCAAGCCGCCCTGCCACGTCTTGATCCTCAACCCATTCGACAAATCCGATAGAATCAAATCCTTGAAGCTCACATCCGACACACACGCCACCGCCCCCCCTGCTCCCAAACTCCCAATGCTGATCCCGTGCCCTGACGTGGCAATCAGATTCCGGACCGTCACGTTGGCCACTGCCTGGCTGCCACGTGCCACCAGTGACACGTCATCATCGCCTCCGTGGAAGGTGCAATTCTCAATGAGCGCGTGGCGCACGCCGAGCAGTTTCAGGCTGTCCGTGTTGGGCGACTCGTCTGGCGCGTTGGTAGTTAATCTCCTCACCCACAGCCTGTCGATTCCGTAGGAGAAGACGTGGTACATGGGGGGGTTGCTGGGGGATGGGGGGAGGCGCGGGGGGGGATCGGGGAGATGGGGGAAGTGGAGGGGAGAGGAGGGGAGAGGAGAGGGTGAGGAGGGGGAGAAGATGCCGTAGGAGAAGACGTGGTACATGGGGGGGTTGCTGGGGGATGGGGGGAGGCGCGGGGGGGGATCGGGGAGAGGGGGGAAGTGGAGGGGAGAGGAGGGGAGAGGAGAGGGTGAGGAGGGGGAGAAGATGCCGTAGGAGAAGACGTGGTACATGGGGGGGTTGCTGGGGGATGGGGGAGGAGGAGGGAGGGGAGCGGGCAGAGGAAGGGAGAGGAGGGGCGAGAAGGGGGTGAGGAGGGGGAGACGGCGACACAGGAGAAGACGTGGTACATCGGGGGGTTGCTGGGGGATGGGGAAGAGAGAGGGGGGAGGGGGAAGAGGGGGAGGCGAGGGGGGAATGAGGAAGGGGGGAGCAGGGGTAGAAGGGCGAGGAGATGCCATAGGAGAAGACATGGTCCATAGGGACGTTGCGGGGGGATGGGTGGAGGAGGGCCGAGAAAGGGGAGGGGGGAATCGGAATGAGGACGAAGAGTGGGCGAGAACGGGGGAGCAAGGGCGAAGGGCGAGGGGATGGCACAGGAGAAGAGAAGACGTGGCACATAGGGACGTTGCGGGGGGATGGGTGGAGGCGCAGAGGAAGCGGGGAGAGGGGGGGGGAGGTGCCGTATTAGAAGGCATGGGGGGCTTCGTGTGGTTGGGCAGCGGGGGTGTGAGGCGAGCAGTGGGAGGAGGGCGGGAGGAAGTGCTAGGGAGAGGGGATATGGTCGGGATAACTGTAGCACATGGAGGGTTGCGGGGGATTGGGTTGGGTCGGGGTGGGAAAAGGAGAGAGACCAGAGGGGCGACGAAAGAGAATCTGCAATCCTTGGACGAGAGGTCCTTGGAAAAGATTCTTGGACGAGAGGTCCTTGGAAAAGATTCTTGGACGAGAGGTCCTTGGAAAAGATTCTTGGACGAGAGGTCCTTGGAAAAGATTCTTGGACGAGAGGTCCTTGGAAAAGATTCTTGGACGAGAGGTCCTTGGAAAAGATTCTTGGACGAGAGGTCCTTGGAAAAGATTCTTCCTCACGCTACTCACCGCAGCGTCCTAATGCTAATCAGCTACAACGATCAGCACCAGGACGCTACTCACCGCAGCGCTATTCCACCCAGGTGACAGGATCAACAGGATGCCACTCACCGCAGCGCTATTCCACCCAGGTGACAGGATCAACAGGATGCCACTCAGCGCAGCGCTATTCCACCCAGGTGACAGGATCAACAGGATGCCACTCACCGCAGCGCTATTCCACCCAGGTGACAGGATCAACAGGATGCCACTCACCGCAGCGCTATTCCACCCAGGTGACAGGATCAACAGGATGCCACTCACCGCAGCGCTATTCCACCCAGCTATGCCACTCAACAGGTGGTCGGGATACGCTACTCACCGCAGCGCTACGCTGTCGAGAATGACCTCGCGGCAGTTGATCAGCGACAGCAGGTGCGGCCGGTCGTGCGCCTCGGTATCCCAGTACCCCTCGCCGTTGCCGTCGAGGCTGCCACTACCGCGTATGACCAGCCCCGTCACCCCTAGGAACCGGAACATGCCGTTACTCGCCACGCCGATCTTGTCCTCGTTAATGTACAGCGACGGTTCGGGATAACCCTCTGCGGTTTTTTGGGCCGTAGATCGTCGCGTCGTCGATTTGCAGCGTCAAGCCAGCGCCGCACGATCCGTTCACCGTGATCGAACGGCTGAGATAGTACTTGACGCTGTTCCCGTCCGCCTCTCGGCTCCGCTCCGCCAGCACACGGTTCCGCTCCGCCAATCCGCGCCTCTGCTCCCCCAACCTCCTCTCCGTCAGTCCGTGGTTCTTTTGCGCCAATCCGCGATGGTTGAGCAGCCACTGCATCGTATCGCTAACCACGTGCGCGCCGCTTGCTCCGCTTCCCCCGCTTCCGTTTACCCCCCCGCCGTTGCCGTTGCCGCCTCCGCTGCTGGAACCCTTCAACGCGTCCACGTTAGCAATCGAATTGTCGACGTTGACGTTAACGTTAACGTCCGGCATTGTGACGTCCGCGACCGTCGGCAGATGAGGCATGTTATCCGCGGTATTGTTGGGATCGCTATTCGCGGACGAGTCGTTCCCGAGTGTAGTGTCAATTCCGTTGCCAGCGGCACTGCCGTTGGTGCTTTTCGTACTAGCGATTCGGCCAGAATCCTTCCTACCGCCATCCTTGGATGATCCCCCCGCGGAAGAGCTCCCCCCGGAAGATCCTTCCGCGGACGGCGGAGCGACGAGCACGCGGACGCGCACGCTTTCCGCCTCCGCGAGCTTGCAGGCGGCGTCGAAGGCGCGGCGGAAGGCGCCCCAGCTATCCCCGCGGCCGTCGGGCTGCGCACCATAGTCCGCCACGTGGAAGGTGGCGGCGGAGTCGTCTCGCGGAAGCGGCGCAACTCCCGCGTACTCCTCGGGCCAGGAGGGCGGCGGAGGGAGGAAATCGGACGACGACGAGCTCTTCGCTGTAACGGGGTAGAACGACAGACGGGGGAAACGTGAGAACTACAAGTCAGTATAATTTGATGGAAGGCGACGTGGTTCTGCAGGTGTATTGGGGGGTGGAAGGCGGCGGGGTCTGAATATAAATGGACGGGAATTTCAACTAAGGGAGGGTGGGAATCTGGTTGAGAGCGAGCGGAGAAGGACGGGTGAAGGGCGTGACAAGATTGCGCGGAAGTTGAGACGCGTTCGGTTCCGTCAGCCCGAGGGAGTACGCGAATTGCGGAAAGCAATGGGCGGAAGAAGGTAGTGCTAGAGTGAAACAGGGATCCCCGCATCGGGCTTTACCGAGAGCGAGCAGTGGAAAGGCAGCAAGACAAAGGCCGAGTTTTTCAAAAAATACACAAACAACCTGTCTCACAAGGCTCGAGCTTCACGAAGCAGGGATAGGCATATCGGGTCTTACCGAGAGAGAGCAGTGGAAGGGACGCGAGGCAAAGGAGAGCAACTGCGCGATGCGTAAACAAGCGGCGTGTTAATGGAGGCGATAATGCGGATTCTCCCATGGCTGCAATCTAGGAGTTGAGCGTGTTAGTCAAGGACGAAATAGAATGGAAAAAGACGACGAAGTCCTGAACCGCAAGAAATAGAAATACCGCTGTATCCGAGGTATGGATTAAATTTCGACAGAGCCACTGTTAATCTGTTCCACTGGGGTTACTGCCGTATCTGAGCACAGAGCTTTTATGTGAACGACAATGCCTATGTTTAACAAGTGAGGTGAGGTTTCGCTGATAGTGCAAATCTGGCTCAAGTTGCGAGGAACTTTCGTCGAAGAATAAGCGGAGGAATTGTGTCCCGCCTTTCGACATGCCAAAGACCAGTTAGATTGAACAACCTCGTCGAGTGTTTTCAGTGGAAGCATAGTGAGTGACGAACAGCACTCTCAGTTTATCTGACAAGTGGTGTGGTGGTGATGCTGGACGGTCATGTAGTGGTATCGCGAGCAGGGCTGTCGTTTCGTTTTGGGCCCCCCGGAAAAATCAGGGGGCCCGGCATGTACGACCCTGTATTTAGCAGGGTCGGGGCGAATTTGGCCCTTTAGGCTTCAGGGCTGAAATTGATTTCTCCCTGTAAATCAGGTTTGGCGCGGAAAATTCTGCAGCCTCATTTCTACCACAAAGCTGACAGCTGCAGTCCGCAAGTATTAATAGGCTAGTTAGCAATAGAAAAACTAGTAGCGTCATTCACTACGCACGCGTACAGACTTCCCCTCTTCCAACTCTTAGCAAAGATCTGAGATGTGTTTTGCTGCTGCTCTACCCATTCATGCCTGCTGGTGCACTGCATGACGGGGATCTGAGATGTGTTTTGCTGCTGCATGTTGGTTCACGCTACTGTCTGTGTGTCGTGGGATGGGAGCGAGGTTATGATTGGTACAAGTACCAGTTGTATGTTGAGTTGAATCTGTGGCCCAGCCACGCAACTCCAAATTAGACAGGTTTGAATGCAATCAAAATAGAAACAGGGGGAGGGGGAGTGGAGGAGTTTGGGGGAAGGGGGAGAGGAGTGGGAGGGCAAGTTCGAAAAGATTTTGTTCCAGGGCTCGTAAAAAATCTACCCTTAATACTCCAGACCTAAGCCCGAAATCAGCCCTGTAAGGAATCAGGGCCACAATTTTTTCAACCCATCAATTTCAGTTTTCAAGGGCAACCCAGCCCTGGAATTCAAGGTCCAGCAGGGCAAACGCCCTGCAAGCGACAGGCCTGATCGCGAGTCGTGGTGACTCCCTGTCCCTGATCACAGACAACAAACGAAGGAGAGGCTGTGAGGAGGTGGCATCTGTTCTGTTCTGTTCCTCCCGTCTCGCGAATGCGAATGAATTAGCGCTTCGCAGAGTGCGGTTCCGTCATCGCGCTCTGAGCAGTCAACTTGTTCTTCCAGTCATTTCAGGTGAACGGGTCGCATGCGATTTCAGTACCAGTGTCGCACACTTCTGCAAGAAACGCGTAACCAATAGGATACTATAACGGCGCGTGATGGTGACAGACTCTGTCGCAGATGGATATGGCCGCACGCCAGCCAATAAAAAACACCAACAAAAATTCGAGAAGCTTCGAAGGACTTTCTTTTGATTAGCTTGGTGAGAACACGCAAAAACAGTTCATACACTAAGAAAGTTACAGATGTAATCAAACCCAGCCTATAAGAATATATAAAAGCAGTAGTCATGTCTCAGAACTTGGCAATACAGACTACTACCCTTGGTTGATGGAGCTGAGAACCACCTCCCTTTCCATAAGTAATAATTTCTGAAGAGAAAAAAAATCACAGAGGAGCCAGGCACAACAAATGTCACACAAACAGCGGAGAAAAACTAAGTGAAAAGAAAACTGCCAGAAAATGTGGTACAAATAGTATTTTCCACAGACGAGACCCACCTGGAGCTGCTGGGGTGTGAAGATTTGATGCAGCGTGCCCTGGGCCACCAGAGCCGCCACATCAGTTGCTTCCATGACCTCTGCTGCTGCTGCTGGATCCACATGCACTGATGGCTCCAGCTGCTGCGCCATAAACACCCGCACCTGCAGTAAACGATTGTGACAATAATGGAACGTGGGTGGAGATTGGATACAGACTTGAGTTATGACGGGAACAGATGCATGTACTAGACACTCGCATCGATACGCCGAATGCAACCCATGCATGTAAACATAAAAGAGTTGCAGACCAACTTAACATAACGAGTTGCAGACCAACTTAACATAACGAGTTGCAGACCAACTTACCATAACGAGTTGCAGACCAACTTAACATAACGAGTTGCAGACCAACTTAACATAACGAGTTGCAGACCAACTTAACATAACGAGTTGCAGACCAACTTAACATAACGAGTTGTAGACCAACCCCAACCCCCATACACATAGACATAGGGAGACACCAACCCATACAATTCATACTAGATAAGAGAGACACACAGCTACACTCACCTCCTGGCAGCGCAAGGCAAGGGTGGGAAGGCAGCACACACGGCACAGCCGGCGCATGAGCCACGGCGCAGGCTCAGCACCCCGAGCCTCCGCTGCTGCTATGGTGCCAAAGCTGTCAGCGGTGGTTCGGGAGAGGCTTGGGCGGTGGGTGGGTGGGTTGGTGAAGGCAGCACAGCGCACCACGTGCATGCGAGCCGCAGGGTCCATGTGAGGTAGTTCCGCTGAGAGGGACACAGGGAAAGGGAGAGAGAGGGAGAGCAAGGAAAGAAGAAAAAAAGGAGGAGGGGGGGGGGGGGGGGGGGGGTGGGGGGGGAAGAGAGAGAGAGTGAGTGCTTATTTGCAGCACAGTGCACCCCGTGCATGCGAGCAGATCTTCAGACATAATTCTCAGGGAGCAGCAGTAGTGAAGCTAGGCTTAAAGCAAAAGAACAAAAAAGGGAATGCGAGCAGTAGTGATGCATGCGAGCAGTAGTGATGCATGCGAGCAGTAGTGATGCATGCGAGCACCAGGGTCCATGTGAGGTAGTTCCGCTGGGTGGGATACAGGGAGAGGGAGAGAGAGGGGGGGGGGGGGGGGGGGGGAGGGGGGTAGAGGGAGTGAGTGCATGAGCAGTGCACAGTGCATCACGTGCATGCAAGCAGCAGGGTCCATTAGAGGCATTTTCGCTGGTAGGCAGGAATGGAGCGAGGGAGAGGGAGCAGAGAAATAACCGGGGGTGGTGGAAAAAGGGGAGAGAGTGAGTGCATGGCACGAGAGCAGCAGGGTCAGTGTGGCGGCAGTCGCGAAGGGGGGGGGGGGGGGAGGGGTTAGGGGAAAGACGAGCGAGATGGGAGAAACGCACCTTTGACAACACGAGCCATGATGCGCACAGCAGGGCTCTCCACATCCACACTCACTCCCTCCCTCACTCGCTCGTCACTGCTGCTTGCCCGTTTGCCTGTTCACTTGCGCTTGTACACAGGAATCAAAACGCACCTTTGACAACACGAGCCATGATGCGAACAGCAGGGCTCTCTACATCCACACTCACTGCCTCACTCGCCCCCTCCTCTCCTCCGGTCCCCAGACAGCGAATGGCGAGTGTGAGCAGGCGCGCGTCTGAGGGGTGCGCTGCCACGTCGACCTGAGAGACGGAGGGAGAGGTGGAGAGTAAGGGGGGAGATGAGGGTGGTAGCGAGTGTGAGCAGGCGCGAGTCAGAGGGGTGCGCTGCCACGTCGACCTGTGGGACGAAGAGGGGGAGCAGTGCGAGAGTGGGGGAGCACGGGGGGGAAGGGTGGGGACGAGTTGGGAGTGAGCAGAGGGGACCAGCGAAGGCGAGCGTGAGAAGGCGCGCATCAGAGGGGTGCGCTGCCACGTCCACCTAGAGACGTTTACGAAGTGGAGATGGGGGAAGTGGGGCGGGCAGGGGGAAGGGGGGACAGCAGAGAATGTAGAGGATATGGTGGAAGGGGGTCAGAGGGGTGCGCTGTGCTGTCACGTCGACCTGGCCGTGCGTCCGCGTCCGCCTCGCTCATCCCCACATGCCATGAGTGCCGAGTGCTGAGTACTCACCCTGACTTGTCGCACCTCTGCCTCTCTCATCCCCACATGCCATGAGTGCCGAGTGCTGAGTACTCACCCTGACTTGTCGCGCCTCTGCCTCTCTCATCCCCACATGCCATGAGTGCCGAGTGCTGAGTACTCACCCTGACTTGTCGCGCCTCTGCCTCTCTCATCCCCACATGCCATGAGTGCCGAGTGCTGAGTACTCACCCTGACTTGTCGCGCCTCTGCCTCTCTCATCCCCACATGCCATGAGTGCCGAGTGCTGAGTACTCACCCTGACTTGTCGCGCCTCTGCCTCTCTCATCCCCACATGCCATGAGTGCCGAGTGCTGAGTACTCACCCTGACTTGTCGCGCCTCTGCCTCTCTCATCCCCACATGCCATGAGTGCCGAGAGCATGGCAGCACACAGAGAGGCATCACTGTGAGCGAGAGCACGGAGCATCACAGGAGACTGCTGCTCAGCACTGGTTTCCAAACCACCGTACTCACCCTGACTTGCCGCGCCTCTGCCTCTCGCTCCCCCACGCACGCCATGAGCGCTGAGTGCATGGCGGCACACAGGGAGGCGTCGCCGGGCACGAGAGCCCCTGAGGGGGCCAGCACCGCCACACACGCCACCACCACATGCTCTCTGCCGCCCTGCTGCTGCTGGTTCTGGTGTGATTGCTGCGGTTGCTGCTGTGGGGTGACCTGAAGCCGCATGGTTGATGAGGCTTCCCCTGGGGATGGTGGGTGGGAGGAAGTAAGAGAGGAAGAGGTTGGGTGGAAGGGGAGAGCGGGTGACAGCACAGCAGGAAGGAGAAGAGAGCTTTTGAGAATTCTCAAGAGAGAGCACGTAGGGAAACATACTTTGAAGCAGCTGTGAGGGAATGAAGTTGACACGGATTTTGAGTGAGATTGTGTGGTTTGGGTTGCTTTGAAAACCAAGAAAAAGGCATACTTTGCCAGCACAGGTTGTGAGGCACATCAACAGTTTTGACATACTTTGCAGCACTGCATGTCAATAAAGACAGCCCGACTAGCTAGAGATAAGAGGTCGTTGCAAGAAGAAGGGAACGAGGAAGATGGAATGGAGAGGGAGCAGAGAAAGACGTACTCTGCAGCAGCTGCATGCCAATAGAGACAGCCCGACTGGCCAGCAATAACAGGTCTGCTCGCTCCTTCTCCCTCTCCGCCTCCCCTTCCTCCTGCCCTGCACCCCCCATTTGACCCGCTCCCTGCTGCTCCTGATCCCTCCTCTCCCGCTCTTCCCTTCGCTCCGTTGCTGCTGCTGCTGCCGTGGCCCAACCACGGTACGCCACATCAGCAGCGATGTAATCCACCTGGACCAATGGGAGGGAGTGTGGAGGGCGGGATGGGGGAGAGTGGAAGATGACAGGGGAAAGGGGAAACGATGGGGGGTGGAGGAGGCGAAGGGGGAAGAGGGAGAGGATGAGGGAAAGAGGAAACGATGGGGGGAGGTGGAGGTTAAGCGGGAAGAGGGAAGGGGGAGAGAAGGGGAAAAGGGGAGACGATGGCGGGAGGTGGAGGTGAAGGGGGAAAGGAGGACAACACACAACGTACCCAGAAGTCAAATTCGCTGAGCTCCACACTCTCCTCTTCCTCCTCCTCATCTCCCTCTTCCTCTTGCTCCTCTCGCTCTGCCCCCTCCTGGCTTCGCCTCGCCTCCATCTCTGTGTGAATGCCCGCCACTGTATCTGCCAGCAGGGCGGCAATGGAGCGCCCTGATTGGCTGGACGGGCTGCCGCTGCTGCTGCCGCCCTCCGCGTGTGCCGCCAGGAGCATGGCGCGCAGCAGAAGGTTCCTGGAAAGAGGGCGTGCGAGAAAAGGGCAGAGCAGGGAGAGGAGAAAGCAAGAGGATTTAGAGTGAGGTTATTCCATTTCAGAGGCACTGTTGCTCACACCATGCCATCCAAACAGTTTCTTACAAATCACCCATTTTTTGATTCCCACCCCTCACAACCCTCTCCATCACCCTCCTCCCTGTCCTCTAGCTGCTCCTCTGCCTCTCACTCTCTCACCCGTGCTGCAGGGCCAGTCGCTGCATCTTCCTCCTCTCCCTGCCCCGCTCCGCACTGCCCACTGTTGCCGGGGCAGTGTGGGGTCCGTGACCACCCACTCAAACAGACACTGCCCTCTGCACGGTGCGTTTGAGAACTCTCAAACACACACTGCCCTCTCCCCCCCCCCTTGCAACTCACCCATGCTGCAGGGACAGTCGCTGCATCTTCCTCCTCTCCTCATCTCCCTCTCCCTGCAACAACTCACCGGTGCTGCAGGGCCAACTGCCGCAACCCCTCTCTCTTTCCGCATCCAGCTCACCCATGCTGCAGAGCCAGTCGCTGCATCTTCCTCCTCTCACTGCCCCACTCTGCACTGCCCACTGTCCCCGGGGCAGTGGGGTCCGTCACCGCCCACTCAAACGCTGCCACCTGTCCCCTCAGATCCGCCAGAACTGCTCTCGGCCAATCAGAGGCCGGCAGGACCCCGGGATCCGACCAATGGGAGCACTTGGAGAGGAACCTGGTGGGGTGGGAGAGGGAGGGAGAGGGGGAGGAGGGGGGGGGGATGGGGAGGGGGAGGGGGAGGGGGAGGGGGAGGGGGAGGGAGAGGGGAAGGGAGAGGGGGAAGGGGATGAGAAGGGGAGATGGTGTCCATGTGGGAAACAAAGGGGTTTGGAAAAATGGTTGATGGGCATGGAGAAGAGGAGAGGAACAACAGGGGAGCGAGAGAGGGGAACCGATGGAGAAGGTTGGGGACTGTCAGGTGATAAGACGACTTATGGCAGGAGAAATGAGCTGCGGGAAGAGAAACGTGAAATGAGGGTGTTTTCGAGACGTCTAAAAAAGAACCGATGGAGAAGGGTGGGAAATGTCAGGTGGTAAGTAGACTTATGGCAAGAGAGAACAGATGGGGAAAGAGGGGTAAGTGTGCCTGTGCATCTGTTCAGGATGTTTGGCATGTAATGGGTGAGGAGAAAAGAGGGGCACACCTGTTGAGCATTGTGGGGACAGAGTCAGGGCCGGAGAGAGGGAGGTGCAGACACAGCGCCTCCACTGTTCGCCTCTTGGCCTCAACACTGGTGACACGCGGGACAGAAGGCGGCAAGTGGTTAAATGAAAGGAATGAACAGGAAGGGAGCAGGAAAGCGAGAGTGAGGAATCGAAAAAAAAAATGATTTCTGGGAATTTCAGATAAGAGGTGGTTGAATGGGGAGTTGAAAGGAATGGTCGGTGTGCAGCAGAGGCTCGTATTAAGAGTGCGTTGGGAATGGTTAAGTGATTTGTGAAGGCCTCATAAAATCTGAAAAGGCATTTTAAATAGGGAGCACTTGAGTCACCATAGCACTGAATTAGCCAGCAGCAGCTGCCGCAGGAGCACCACCACTACTACCCACCATCCCCCCACCAATACTACCCACCATCCCCACCACCACTACTACCCACCATCCCCACCACCACTACTACCCACCATCCCCACCACCACGGCAACGCACCGAAGCGTGAGAGTAACGCGACGAGGCTAGTGAAAAGGGGGATGGAATGAAAGGGGGCTGTTGGATGCTGAGCTGGCAGCAGCAGCAGCAGCAGCAGCAGCAGCAGCAGCAGCAGCAGCAGCAGCAGCAGCAGCAGCAGCAGCAGCAGGCAGCAGCAGCAGCAGCAGCAGCAGCAGCAGCAGCAGCAGCAGCAGCAGCAGCAGCAGCAGCAGCAGCAGCAGCAGCAGCAGCAGCAGCAGCAGCAGCAGCAGCAGCAGCAGCAGCAGCAGCAGCAGCAGCAGCAGCAGCAGCAGCAGCAGCAGCAGCAGCAGCAGCAGCATCCAACAGCCCCCTTTCATGGAAGGGGGCTGAAACGAAAGGGGACCCAAGATTCGTTCGCAGCAGCTGCAGCAGCAGCAGCAGAAACACCACCACTACACACACAGCCACCACCACAGGAACGAACCTGTCTGTCTTGCGCTGTTCAAAGAGTTGAAGGAAGAAGTCAGAGGCGAGGGAGGGTGTGAGCAGCAGCAGCGCCAATGGTACCACCACCTGCCACTACCATGACAACAACCAGCACAAACACCATCCCCATCACTCAATGCACGCACCTGTCTGTCTTGCGCTGCTCGAATAGCTGAAGGAAGAAGTCAGAGGTGAGGGAGGGCGTGAGCAGCAGTGAGGCGTAGAGCGGTGTGAGATGGTCCCTGCGCTGCGCTGCCAGCAACACACAGTAGCTGATGGGATGAGAGGGGGCAGGGAGTGGGGAGAGCATTGGGGAACGGGGAAAGAAGCGAGGGCGTGAGCAGCAGAGAGGCGCAGAGGGCGTGAGATGGTCCCTGCGCTGCGCTGCCAGCAGCACACAGTAGCTGATGGGATGAGGGGGATGGGAGTGGGGAGAGAATAGGGCAATGAGGAAGCAAGCGAGGGCGCGAGGAGCAGAGAGGCATGGAGCGGTGTGAGATGGTCCCTGCGGTGTGCTGACAGCAGCAGCACACAATAGCTGATGGGATGGGGAGACGATTTGGGAGCATACAGACTATGCAAGAGCGAGAGGGGGAGAGACTGAAGGAATAAGGAAGAGAATCGGAAAAAAGGGCCACCATGCACCAGGTATCACCTGCACCAGGTATCACCTGCACCAGCTATCACCTGCACCAGGTATCACCTGCACCAGGTATCACCTGCACCAGCTATCACCTGCACCAGGTATCACCTGCACCACCTATCACCTGCACCAGGCCCACTCACGTTTAGAGGATGACGTCCCCTGATGTGTTGAGCCAGTCCCTGTACTGGTGGTAGGTGCATGTGATGATACACCAGATGCACCTGACAGACACACATGCATGCTGCTGCCTGCCAACTATGCTCACGTGTACAGGATGACATCTCCCGATGTGTTGATCCAGTCGCGGTACTGCTGGCGGGCAGCTGATGATGCGCCTAGTGCACCAGATCTACCTGATGTACCTGCAAAGCAAAATGCTGCCAGCCACACTCACGTGTACAGAATGACATCGCCTGACGTGTTGAGCCAGTCCCTGTACTGCTGGCGAGCAGCAGCGGGGAGCACGGAGCGCAGAAGCACCACCAGGTGGGCGCCACACCGCACCAGGGAAGGGTCGGAGCTGGGAGGGGAGAAAGAAGGGGGCATAATGGGTGGAAGGAGGAGGACAGGGGATTGTGCGAGTGGAAAGCAAGGGGGTGGAAAGAGGAGATGAGGTAGTAAACGGGGCAGGTGGAGCAGGGGGTTGAGGCCCGAAAACGGGGCAAGCAGGGGAGTGTGAACGCAGCATTGTGGCAAACGGGGATGGGAGCATGGGGCAGGGGCAGCAGCAGCAGCAGCAGCCGGTGGGTCAAGCGCATTATGACACATGCGGCGGGTGCTGATGCCGAGTGGCGGGTGCTGATGCCGAGTGGCGGGTGCTGATGCCGAGTGGCGGGTGTTGATGCCGAGTGGCGGGTGTTGATGCCGAGTGGCGGGTGTTGATGCCGAGTGGCGGGTGTTGATGCCGAGTGGCGGGTGTTGATGCCGAGTGGCGGGTGTTGATGCCGAGTGGCGGGTGTTGATGCCGAGTGGCGGGTGCATATGCGAGCACACTTGAGCTGGGCTGATTTGAGCTGGGCTGATTTGAGCAGGGGTGAATGCATGTGCAACTAGAAAAAACCTAGTCGCTCTCCAAACTGTCGGCGAGAGCAGGAGCCAGCCTTGTACTCGTTCAGAGGAAGAGAAAGAGAAACAGAGAGGAGCACCTACTCGCTCTCGGGAGTGCCGCCCAGAGAAGCAGCCACTCCTGAGGGAGCCATCGACGGGATAATGTTTTTGAAAACTCTCAGAAGCAACTCCAGCAGAGAGGGAAAGGGCACCTACTCGCTCTCCACATTGCCGCCCAGAGAAGCAGCCAATCCCGACGGAGCCACCGAGGGGATGATCCACGACCGCAGCGCCTGGATGGTTCCTGGAACGTTCCTGAGAATGAGGTGCGTCTGCAGCACATGGTGTGGCTCCGTGCTGCTGCGCTTGACAGCGTCTGGGAGAGAGGGGCTGCATGGGAGGGAAATGGGGCGAGGAGTGGGAAGGAAGGGGGAAGAAGGGGAGGAGACAGTGGGCTTGGTGTGCAGCATGTGGTGCTGCTCGGTGCTGCTGCGCTTGACACCATCGGGGAGTGAGGGGCTGCATGGGAAATCCAGGGGGAACGGGTGGAGGGGGAGGGGATAGGATGGAAAAAGGAACGGGTAGGTTGAGAGAACAACAGGAGGCATAATCTGCTGGCTGTTATACTGGAGAAACAACCGCAGCCCATGAGAAACCCACAGCAGACCACAGCAGGCCACAGACCTCCGCAGCCCACCTGTTTACTACTGGCAGCACAGCAGGCCACAGCAGGCCACAGACCTCCGCAGCCCACCTGTTTACTACTGGCAGCACAGCAGGCCACAGCAGGCCACAGACCTGGTTCTGAGCTTCTGAAAGAGATCGTCAAAGTCAGCCGGTTGCTGTGCCGCCACTGGTGCCGGCCACACTGCCGCTCCCGTTGCTGTTGACACCGCTGCTGCTGCTGACGCTGCCACTGCTGCTGCTGATGATGATGAGGAAGATGGTGCAAGGGAGATGGTTGTAGCGGCGAGGGAAGAGGCGGAGGAGGAGGAGAGGAAGGGAGCGGGGGAGATGGAGGCGAGAGCACGAGCGGCAGCGGCGGAGACGGAAGGGAGGGCGCGAGGGAGGGGTGGGGAGGAGGCAGCGGAGAGGTGGGCTTCGACCTGCGAAGGGAGCAGCGAGAGGGGAGGGGCGGGAAGAAGAGGAGTGAGAGGTGTGAGATGGTGGGTGCAGGAAGAGGACAGGTGTAAAGGGTTGGAAAACGATTGTATGTGCGGCTACCAGTGCCTGTGACTGTTGCGGGACAAGGGCAGAGCACGTGCTCACAGTCAGAGTGAAAGGCACGCATGTGCAACCGTGCAGGGAAAGCGTGCGGATCCATGCACGCGAATGTGGAGTGGCTGCAGGCACTCATAGGGGGTTCTTATGACGTGTCACAAGCAGTTAGATACACAGGAATGGACGAACCCCATGGGAACGGAATGGGATGCAGCAACCACTCTGATGACACCATGGGATGCAGCAACCACTCTGATGACACCATGGGATGCAGCAACCACTGTGATGACACCATGGGATGCAGCAACCACTCTGATGACACCATGGGATGCAGCAACCACTCTGATGACACCATGGGATGCAGCAACCACTCTGATGACACCATGGGATGCAGCAACCACTCTGATGACACCATGGGATGCAGCAACCACTCTGATGACACCATGGGATGCAGCAACCACTCTGATGACACCATGGGATGCAGCAACCACTCTGATGACACCATGGGATGCAGCAACCACTCTGATGACACCATGGGATGCAGCGACCACTCTGATGACACCATGGGATGCAGCGACCACTCTGATGACACCATGGGATGCAGCGACCACTCTGATGACACCATGGGATGCAGCAACCACTCTGATGACACCATGGGATGCAGCGACCACTCTGATGACACCATGGGATGCAGCGACCACTCTGATGACACCATGGGATGCAGCGACCACTCTGATGACACCATGGGATGCAGCGACCACTCTGATGACACCATGGGATGCAGCGACCACTCTGATGACACCATGGGATGCAGCGACCACTCTGATGACACCATGGGATGCAGCGACCACTCTGATGACACCATGGGATGCAGCAACCACTCTGATGACACCATGGGATGCAGCAACCACTCTGATGACACCATGGGATGCAGCGACCACTCTGGTGACACCATGGGATGCAGCGACCACTCTGATGACACCATGGGATGCAGCGACCACTCTGATGACACCATGGGATGCAGCAACCACTCTGATGACACCATGGGATGCAGCAACCACTCTGATGACACCATGGGATGCAGCAACCACTCTGATGACACCATGGGATGCAGCAACCACTCTGATGACACCATGGGATGCAGCAACCACTCTGATGACACCATGGGATGCAGCAACCACTCTGATGACACCATGGGATGCAGCGACCACTCTGATGACACCATGGGATGCAGCGACCACTCTGATGACACCATGGGATGCAGCAACCACTCTGATGACACCATGGGATGCAGCGACCACTCTGATGACACCATGGGATGCAGCGACCACTCTGATGACACCATGGGATGCAGCGACCACTCTGATGACACCATGGGATGCAGCGACCACTCTAATGACACCATGGGATGCAGCGACCACTCTGATGACACCATGGGATGCAGCAACCACTCGGATGACACCATGGGATGCAGCAACCACTCTGATGACACCATGGGATGCAGCGACCACTCTGATGACACCATGGGATGCAGCGACCACTCTGATGACACCATGGGATGCAGCGACCACTCTGATGACACCATGGGATGCAGCAACCACTCTGATGACACCATGGGATGCAGCAACCACTCTGATGACACCATGGGATGCAGCGACCACTCTGATGACACCATGGGATGCAGCGACCACTCTGATGACACCATGGGATGCAGCAACCACTCTGATGACACCATGGGATGCAGCAACCACTCTGATGACACCATGGGATGCAGCAACCACTCTGATGACACCATGGGATGCAGCGACCACTCTGATGACACCATGGGATGCAGCAACCACTCTGATGACACCATGGGATGCAGCGACCACTCTGATGACACCATGGGATGCAGCAACCACTCTGATGACACCATGGGATGCAGCGACCACTCTGATGACACCATGGGATGCAGCGACCACTCTGATGACACCATGGGATGCAGCAACCACTCTGATGACACCATGGGATGCAGCGACCACTCTGATGACACCATGGGATGCAGCGACCACTCTGATGACACCATGGGATGCAGCGACCACTCTGATGACACCATGGGATGCAGCAACCACTCTGATGACACCATGGGATGCAGCAACCACTCTGATGACACCATGGGATGCAGCAACCACTCTGATGACACCATGGGATTCAGCGACCACTCTGATGACACCATGGGATTCAGCAACCACTCTGATGACACCATGGGATGCAGCGACCTCTCTGATGACACCATGGGATGCAGCAACCACTCTGATGACACCATGGGATGCAGCGACCACTCTGATGACACCATGGGATGCAGCGACCACTCTGATGACACCATGGGATGCTCACCTGAAAGTCGAGCCAACAACGCAGCAGTGCCCAGCAGGCCGTCTGAGAGACCAGTGTTTCAAAAGCAGGGTGGGGGGGAGTGTGGGGGAGAAAGACAAACCAGAAGACTGAAGTAGATGCAAGCCACATACTCCACAACAACCACATCACACGTACACGCCGCGCGATAGAAACTCAACGTTTACCAAAAGGATTGAAGTAGATGCAAGCCACAAGCTCCACGGCAACCACATCACATGTACACCGCGTCCAGCCTGTATTTGGCTTTTAAGTCGACTCAAAAGTCACCCCGCGTCTGCCACCAGCAGAGAGCACTTCCACAGCCTCCTGCCCCGCCCCTTCCCTCGACCCATCTTCGCCCCCCGTGTAGCCCGGACATGCTCAGTCACCATAAGGCACCTCTGAAAAACAGACGCACGCACCCACCTGTCACAAGGTGCCAACCTAAGCACACACACTCACCTGCCACGAGGTGCAAACCTAAGGGCGCGTGAGGTCTTTGAAATTTGTAAAAGTTTAATGTTTTTAGGGCGATTTTTAGTTTCGAACTTACAACGAAAGAAGTTCGAATTTCCTTCTATCGAAGTTCGAACATCGGGCTTACCACACTGTAAAAAATCACACACACATACAAGGTCGAACCCCGACATTCGAACTTGTAAAAACGAGCCGAGCCGCACGTCAACATCATAGGTTACCAGGTTCGCTCGTCTTGACGGTGCGCCACGTCAACATTTTGCGCCTCGGTTTACAAGGACCTAGAGCTCCAACTCACCTTCCGCGCCGAGTGTGTAGGGAAACTATATTCCAGGTCCATACTTTCAGATTTCTCTCAAATTTAGCCGCGGGTCGACTAAAAAATTACTACTTTCTAGAATTTCGCTCACGCGAGGCCCAAAGTATGTTCAAAACTGGTCCTGCGGGGCGAAGTTTTCGACACGTGTCCAATTTCGCTTTGAAAAAATTTCGACGGGGCAAAAAATAATAAAACCCCTCGGGACCTAGGGCACATTTGCGGGAGGGATCAACCCTAAACACCAAGCGGGTCCCCGTGTTTAGGGTTGGTCCCTCCCGAACGTGTGTCCTGGTTCCCCTAGGGGTTTTATGTTTTTTGCCCCCGTCAGAAATTGCTAATAAGAAACAGGACGCGTGTCGAAAAGTTTGCCTCGCAGGACCAGTTTTGAACATAATCTGGGCCTCGCGTGAGCAAACTTCCAGAAAGCTGTACTTTTTTAGTGGAATTAAGACTAAATTTGAGATATTTTTGAAACTATGGAGCTGGGATATACTTTCCCAAGTGTGTAACCAGGGTACAAATAGCCCCTGTGGCAACACCTTGTATGCTGGACACGTGGCTACAACTGTGTGCACGAATTGTGGGGTGTCTTCGTTGTGCAACTTCATGCACTGGCGAAGCGCTCGCCCGTTTCGCCAGCTGTTCGGACGTGCTGCAAATCACACACGCTCGCATGAACGTGAGCACGCACGTTCGCGCCTCCGACTCGAGTCAAGTTCATATTTCAAACTCGAACTTTTGCAGAGCCCATACAATGCTTGGTTCGCGAAGCACCCTTCGCGAAATTAGCGAATAGGGTAACCACCCAAAGTTCGAACTTTATTTTGAACTTCTAAACAGACCACACGCGCCCTAAGCACACACACTAACCTGCCACGAGGTGCAAACCTAAGCACACACACTCACCTGCCACGAGGTGCAAACCTAAGCACACACACTCACCTGCCACGAGGTGCAAACGGGCAGTATCCTCTTCACATTGCCACACAGCGCTCCCAGCACAGCCGCCTCAAACCGACTGGTTGAAGCTTCAGAAGCCACCAGCAGAGACCATTTCCACAGCCGCCTTCCCCGCCCCTCCCCCCCCTCCACCCGTCTTAATCCCCCATGTAACCCAGGCATGTTCAGCCACCGCAAGGCACCTCTGAAGGACACACACACACGCGCACCTGCCATGACGTGCAGACAGGCAGTATCCTCTTCACATTGCCACACAGCGCTCCCAGCACAGCCGCCTCAAACCGACTGCTCGAAGCCTCAGACGCCACCAGCAGAGACCATTTCCACAGCCGCCTTCCCCGCCCCTTCCCCCCCTCCACCTCCCCCGCCTGTGCCGCCCGCCTCGCCCCTCCACTCATCTCCCGCCACGTGGCGGCTGTGGGGAAGCTCTCCCCTGCCGCCCCAGCGCTGGGCGGCGCGGCCCATGTCCCGCCGAGAACCGCCGCCCGCCAGGTCTGCCCCGCCGCCCGGCAGAGGTTGAGGGCATCTTGAATCCGGCCAGCGGTGATGAGCGTGAAGACGTCTGATAGCAACTCCTCCTCCACTCGCTGGGGGAAGGAGGAGGAGGGGAAGAGGGGAATGAGAGTGGGGAATAAAGAGAGGGTAAGAAGGAAGGGGAGGAAGGGAGGGGTGATGCCATGAAGCAGCAGTGATGAGCGTGAAGATGTCTGATAGCAACTCCTCCTCCACTCGCTGGGGGAAGGAGCGTGCATGGAGTGAGGCGTGGAGAAGATGGTGGGTGGGTTTAGAGGGGTGGCAGTGGTGAGCGTGAATATGTCCGATAGCAACTCCTCCTCCACTCGCTGTGAGAAGTGGGAGGGGTAAAAGATGAGAGGAGGGGAAGGTGGGGGGAAACAAGGGCCCATATGGTGGCAGTGGTGAGCGGAGCATGAATATGTCCGATAGCTACTCCTCCTCCACTCGCTGGGGAAAGTGAGAGAGCTATGGAGGAGAGGACGAGGGGTGAGGTACGGAACATGAGGAGGGGGATGGGGAAGTGGGAAAGGGTGGGGAGAAGAACTGGCGGTGACGAGTGTGAAGACGTCTGATAGCAACTCCTCCTGCACTCGTTGGGGAAAGTGAGGTTGAAGCAGCAGGCAGAGGATGGGGATGGAGAAAGTAAGGACAAGGACAAGGACAAGCTCTCTCAAGAAAAGGACGAGAGAGAGAGAGCATGCGAGTGAGCTCACCTCGTCCTCTGCATGCAGTCGCCCCCCCTCGCGAGTAACAGCATCAGCATCCACAGCAGTCACCATCTCCTCTCCCCCACCCCGCCCATACCGCCCCTCCAGCCCACCAAACGCCAGCGCGTTGCTCCTCCTGCCGCCCAGCCCCACTATCCCGCCCAGCCCCCCCTGCCCCTCGCGAATCGCCCTCTGCGTGTGCACACGCAGGCCAGAAGCTTCTGTGTAGCTTCCCAGGCAGGTGCCACGCTCCTGGGGGAGGAGAGAATGTGGAGGAGAAGGCGAACGGAAGGACAGGAAGGTGGGCCGGGTGGGTAGTAGGGTGGGGGCGAGTGGTGCGGGTGAAGAGCAAGGTGCAGAGGAGTTTAATCCAAATCAAGCCAGGTAAATCGAGATGACAGCCAGGTTAAGCCAAGTGTTCTACGGCTATGGTCAAGCCTTGCAGGTTCCACTGGTCTAGTCAACTCAGGTCAACACTGGTCAACGCAGGTCAACGCAGGTCAACCTACTGCCTGCAGCAGCATGAGGTCCGACTCTGCCAGCCCCTCCAGCCACCTCAGCACCCGCCAGCTGTGCTGCGCGTTCTCATTGGTCGACAGAAAGTCGCACGTGTCCTGTGCTGACGGGGACGGGTGCTGACGTTGCAGAGGGAGGGAATCATGCAGAAAACGGAAAACACCGAGAAGGGTGACTGGTGGTGTGAAGGGAAAAAGAAGCGGTAAGGTGAAGAATTCGAGGCATACATTTTATTGGTGACATGAAGCAAACAACGTGGAGAATACGTGTGGAGGGAAGAGAGAGTCTCACCAGTCGCACATCTTCCGTCAGGTGGTCCGTGTCTGCTCTTGCCATGCCATGCCATGCACGAAAGCACATGAGGAGGAAACGGAAGGAAGAAAGGCACTGATTGGCCTTGGCAAAGGGAGTAGGTGAGGACCGTGAGGTTCGATCCATGGAATACAATGCACTTTTGAGACGTCTCAAAAGGAAGAAGGGCACTGATTGGCATTGGCAAAAGGAGTAGGTTAGGTTCCAACTAAATGTTAGGAACCTAACCAGTAGGCTGCACAGTTAGGTTGGTTTTTTAACAAGATCTGGAACAAGATGGAGGGTAGCACAGGCAAAAGAGGAAGGCAAGCAGGGAGCCGGCAAAAAGCGCACCAGCAACGCTGCTCCTCACCGTATCCAAACAGGTGGTGCATGAGCGCCCACGTGGCAGCCTCTGATTGGAGCGCCTGGCTCTTCCTGCTGAGCACGTGCTCCTGGGCGGGCTGCACGCTCTCCCCCGCGTCCGCCCGCAACCCCACCGCCAGCTCCCTGCAGCACTGCTCCAACTGCCTGAGGGATTCTCGATAGCCCAACACACCTGGGGAAGGGAGAGGAGAGTCGCAATGTGTGGCAACAGGTTGTATAAAGCGACAATAGCCATGGACATGGTGTGTGCTCCTGGGCGGGCTGCACGCTCTCCCCTGCATCAACCCTTAGCCCCACCGCCAGCTCCCTGCAGCACTGCTCCAACTGCCGAAGAGAGTCCCTGTAGCCCACCACGCCTGGGAAGGGGGAGCTTGGCAACGTGTGGGTCAAGTTTTTGTACGGAGAAACAGCATAGTCTTGCTGTGTGCTGTGTGCACTGTGCTCCTGTGCGGGCTGCACTGCACTGCACGCTCTCCCCTGCATCAGCCTGGAACCCCACCGCCAGCTCCCTGCAGCACTGCTCCAACTGCCGAAGAGACTCCCTGTAGCCCACCACACCTGCAGAGACGAGCAGGTGAGCAGCAATGTGTGGATAGAGCTTGTGGAAAGGGACAGCAGCACAGCTATGCTCCTGTGTAAGTTGCACTGCGCACTCTCTCACCCGTGTCCACTCACCTCTCGCAATTGCACACCCTCTTGCAACAGCAAGGCCAGGATAAGAAGCTAGCTACTCCAAGTGCTTGACTCACCGCGCACAGCAGCGGCCAGCACTCCTTCAAACCGCTCGTACACCTCCTCTCCGCCATCCTCAAAGTCCACTGGGGGATGATGCTAGAGAGGGACGCTAGCCTGAGCCTGCAAGGCCAGGATAAGAAGCTAGCTACTCCAACTGCCCCTCTCCGTGACTTACCACTCCAGCGCCCCTCTCACCTCGCACAGCAGCGGCCAGCACGCCCTCAAAGGGCTCATACACCTCCTCTCCACGCGTCCACTGGGGCCGTTAGGGTGAGATGCTAGCCTGAGCCTGCAGGGCCAGGATAAGAAGCTACGCCAAGCGCCTGACTTACCACTCCAGCGCCCCTCTCACCTCGCACAGCAGCGGCCAGCACGCCTTCAAAGCGCTCGTACACCTCCTCTCCACGGTCCTCGAATTCCACTGGGGCCTCCTGCACGCGTGACACGGTGATCGCGGCGGTGTGACGGAACTGAGCTGACGCAATCACGGTGATCGCGGCGGTGTGACGGAACTGAGCTGACGCAATCACGGTGATCGCGGCGGTGTGACGGAACTGAGCTGACGCAATCACGGTGATGGTGGTGGGTGGTGGTGTGGTGACCATGTGAGCCGTAGGTGGTGACCACGTGTTTGAAGTAGTGTTTTGAGTTGAGACGTCTCAAAACACTACTTCAAGCACGGTGATAGTAGCAACGTTGTGACGGAACTGAGCTCAGGCAATCACAGTGATGATGATGGTGGTGGGTGGTGGGTGTGACCATGTGAGCCGCAGGTGGTGGTGGTTTCGTTGGTGCTGGTGGTGATGTGACAGAACTGAGACGCGACTGCGACTAAAGCGGTGCGATAGGGTGCAGCATATGGTGCTTCAGGGTGCAGCGCAGTGTGTGACACACGCGGCTCGCATCAAACGACTCACAGCTCGCATCTTCAGCCGAGCCCTCCTCTTCTTGTCTGTTCGCTGCCTATGCTGCTGCTGCTCTTGTTGCACCTGCGGCTGGCTCTCAGAGTTCACTTCCGCTCTCCCCCTCCCTTTCCCCGTTCCCCCGACTGACGCCAATTCTGGGCTCATTTCTCCCCCGAAAAGCGGAAAATCTCCGCCAATGTCCCTTCCGACTCCCCCACTACGCCCAGAACCGGGAGTGACAATAAATGGGGAGACGTGAACCTCTTTAGGAGATCTATACCCCTGATCAGCTCTCCCCAGACCGCCAGAATAATCCCCTATGTTGATGCCGAACCCGGGCCCCGAGCCTGCACCAGAGGCTTGGCCCAAGCTTCGGCCAGACGGTCGGGGGGTGGAGTCAGGGAAGGTGACGAGCGGGGAGGCGTGGCTCGGGGCCGGGGTGGGTCCAGGAGTTAGCCGTTGGCGTATGTCGGACTTTCGTCTCCTGACAGGATTAGGGTTTGAAAACAGATTTGCGGTGAGTTAGTGTAACAAGAAGTCGAACACCCACGGAAAATCACTACATGAAAGGCCACTAGAGTCGATAAGTCGCAACGAGCTGGCCCATTGAATTGCGCGCGTTCTTTCCGCAATTAACTTGCATTCTTCGCATTCTTACCCTAGGCGAACGAATTCCGGACGATCGTCTTGCTCGGCGGCGAGCTGCAGCGGCTGATACGCGGCCATGCCGGCGACTGCTAAGCCGATGTCGACGACTCAGACAGGAAAGGACTCGCTCCTATCGGCGATCCCGATGCTGTTACACTTCTTGACGATATGCGTAGGGAAAAGGTGCCGCAGAGCCCCAGCAAGCTGCTGTAGCGTGCTGGCAGTAGACGTGATCCACGTTTCTCTGTTAACGCTGGCCTGGCGTTTTTTAAATAACGAGGCTTTCAGGGCGACGTCAGGTTGCACAACTTCTGTACACTCACTTCGGTCAACTTCGTTTCGTCACGGTGAAAAACGGTGAACCTCGACAACGGTCCACACGTTAGAACTGTAAATGTGTGAGATATGTGAGAACTCACGTCGCCCTCCTTTCCACTTTCATCAATATCAGCGTGTGTTACGAGTGCAATTGAGTGAACGAACGAGAATTGCACTATCGAAGCAAGAGTCCAATGAGCGAAGGCATGAGCGAAGAATATATAGCGAAACCCCAGGAGGGGGGACAGCGTCAACGTAGGTGCCTGTGGACTTCCAGGAAGCCATCTCTGCATCCATAGCTGCCTGCCACTGAGAGGAGTAGGGACCCTCTATCGCCTCCGCGTAATAGCGCGGAGTCGGGATGTCTAGTGCATCCGGGTCTCCCTCAGGGGCTAGCAGTACAGACGCGAGATGAGGTGAAGCGGCGGCCAGACACTGGAACTCCTCCTGCCTGTCCTCAAGGACGTCCGTGCCAAGGGCACACTCACCCCCGACGGACGGAGGACAGGCAGACTCAGACTCAGCAACAAGACTAGCAGCGTAGTCTAGACGACAGCGCGCAGCAAAGTCGACGAGCTCAGTGACAAGGGCAGACGCAGCAGAAGACTCGAAAGAAGGGTCAGTGACAGCAGTAGCAAGGAGACGCGTGACAGTAGGACTGGCAGCACGAAGAGAGTCCGACTCCGGGTCGGCAAGAGCAGGAAGAGAGGAAGCAGGAGGAGAAGGCAAAGGGGCACGCAGGGGAGCAGTAGACGGACGCAGAGACATCCGGTGCGTGCCAGGGACAGGAGGAGGACGCTGACGCGAACCGCGACCACTAGCGCGCGCAGTACGAACAGGCGACGCAGGACGAGACGCAGGCTCACGACGCTCGGTAAGACCTCCAGTCGGACCAGCGTAGGGAGAAGGAGCAGGCAAAGGGGAGGCAGGCTGTAGCTGTGACTGTGACGAGACAGGCTGTGGACCCTCTAAGGGAGGAGGAGGAGGACCAGGAGAAGGTGTAAGACCAAGAACCTGCTGCAGGAGCGGAACGAAGTACGGTCGGGGCCGCGCGGCGACGCCAGGAACAGCAGAGACAGCACCAGTACCCCCAGCAGGAGTACCCGCTCCAGCAGCACCTCCAGTAGCTTCAGAACCTCCAGCAGCACCACCAGGAGCATTGCCAGTGGGACCGTCAGCGGCAGTCTCAGCGCCAACACCCTCAGCAACACCAGCTCCAGGAGAACCCTCAGACCCAGCAGCTCCAGCACCCACAGTACGAGCACCTCCGGGACGCTCGGCAGCAGTACCCTCTGCAGCCGAAGAACCTCCAGCACCAGCAGCACGCCTCCAGCGCCGGGCAAACCACTCACGCAGCTCCTGTGGGGGGAGTGGCTCTCGACGAGACGAAGCACCTCCAGGCGTAGCACCCCTAGTCTCAGCACCCCCAGGCTCAGCACCCTCAGGCCCAGCACCCCCAGGCTCAGCACCCCCAGGCTCAGCACCCCCAGGCCCAGCACCCCCAGGCTCAGCACCCCCAGACTCAGTACCCCCAGGCTCAGCACCTCCAGACTCCGCGCCCCCAGGCTCAGCACCCCCAAGTGTAGCACCTCCAGGCTCAGCACTCCCAGGCTCAGCTCGCGCAGCAGCACCAGAGTCACCAGTGACCTCGACAGGCTCGACCGCGTCTACCTGGGACACACCTGAAGGGGCAGGACCCTGAGGGGGGAGGGGGTCTACCGGGGGGGGACCTTGTACCAAGAAGAGCGGGGGCGGGGGGAGGGACGGAGTGCGGTAGGGGAAGAGGCGGTAGTAGGGTACCGACTCGTCGAACGTGACGTCCTGGGAGGACAGAACACGTCGAGAGGTGGGGTGGTAGAACTGCCACCCAGGGGCATCGGGGGGGAACCCCAGGAAGACGCAGGGAGCAGCGCGAGGGGACAGCTTGTCCGCAGACAAGTCGCGGACAAACGCCCGAGATCCCCAGACCCGGAACGTCGACGCATCGCCAACCTTCCCCGTCCACAACAGGGCTGGGGAGGTCTCCGGCCTGGAGACCCTGGGGTGGAGGTTGATCTGATGCGCCGCGTACCTGACCGCAAACGGCCACAGAAAATGGGGGGCAGCCGCATGCATCATGGACGTACGAGCGACGTCCATGACCATGCCAATGCGGCACTCTGCGATCCCATTTTGCTGCGGGGAGTCCGGAAGCGTGAAGGTCTGGCGGATGCCTCGCGCACGACAGTAGGCACGCAGAAGGCCAGAGGAGAACTCTCCGCCTCTGTCCGAGTGCAGACGCAACACAGGAAAGTCCGAGCCAAAGCTCCGCCTGAGCTGGAGACGAGCTGCGCGGATCCAGTCGATCAGCACCTCAGTGACATCACCCTTGCTGCGCAAGGGGAAGACTGTGGTGTAACGCGAGTAGTCGTCAACCACCAACAGAAAGTAGCGCTCGTGACCGAGTCCACGGACGCGGGCAGGGCCCCACACGTCCATGTGAAGCGTCTGCAACGGAGCCTCTGTCGGAGGAAACTGGGAGGAGTGAGGGGCAGCACGCTGGCGCCCCTCGACACAGGGGACACGGGCAGGGCCAGGGCCCTGAGGAAGGGGAGGTAGAGACCGGGGGAGACCAGACACAAGAAGACGGGAGGCCATGCCTCTGAGCCAAAGCAGAGAGGGGTGGCCAAGGCGGTGGTGCCAGAGGAGGGTCTCGTGAGACAGACGGCGACACGAACAGGGGGCAGACTCAGGACCAGACCTTGACGCTGCAGCAAACACCTGACCAGACGAAGGGACTCTACCAGACTCAGCACCTGGAGGAGAAGCAGTGGTAAGTGTGTACAGGCTCGACCCTGGCTGACGTGTAAACGTAGCCAGGTGACGACCCGTGCTAGCCTCTGTGCAGTGCGTCACTCGCTGACGAGCAGGGGTGAACTGGTGGACTCCTGCATCCTGTAGGTCAGCACCACTCACCAAGTTCGTAGAGAACGAGGGGAGGTAGAGACCAGACAGGGTGCCAGAGGGAGCCGCCGGACACGGGAGGACTGTGGAGAAGCGAGACAGGACAGGACCCCCAGAGGGGTCAGCCAGGGAAACTGCAACCGGCCGACTAAGCGGCGTAAGTGTGGTGCGGTCCCGAAAGAAAGAGCGAGACGCTCCAGAGTCAAGAGTGAAGGTGTGGGAGGCCGAAGCCGACGCAGTACCTGAGAGCGCAGACGCACTAGTACCTGAGAGAGCAGTCTCACGAGCACCTGAGAGCACAGACGCACTGGCACCTAGAGCAGAAGCCTCACCGGCACCTGGAGCAGCAGTACCAATGCCCGGGTCGGGCGGGAAACACCGGTAACAGTCACCCTCATCACTAATGGTCACAGCATACATGGCAGCAAGGATAGCATCAAAATCAAGATCAAAGATAGCTACACCAGCCCTAGACAGCTCTCCCCAGCGGGGGATCTCCGCGGCCTCCGGGAACTGCTGACGCCAAGCGTCCGTCAGGCGGCCAAAGCAGCGCTGGGCGGGGTGGGCGCCCCCACACTGCTCTCCAGTGCGGTCGCCAGTGCGGAGAACGTAGGTGCAGGGACCAAAACCCCCACCGCGCTGACGCTGCATGTACCACTCACGAAGCTGCTGAGGGGTGGGGACGTCGCGAGAACGCTGCTGCTGCTGCTGCTGCTGCTGCTGGCGCTGACCGCCACCAGTGCCGCTCCGCTGCGAAGCTCCACTCCGACCACCTCCACCTCCGCCACCCCCGCCTCCGCCTCCACCGCCCCCGCCTCCACCTCCACCGCCGCCACCTCCGCCACCTCCGCTACCACCGCCACCGCCGCCGCCACTCCCGCCTCCACTGCCGCCACTAGCACCCCCACCCCCGCTACCACCTCCACCGCCACCCCCACTCCCTCCGCCGCCTCCACCTCCACCGCCACCGCCCCCACTGGCCCCACCCGTTCCCTTGCCCCCCTTGCCCTTGCCAGAGCGGCGTCTCCCGCTAGGGGCAGACGCCGCACCGACCGACTCAAGACCAACGAGGTCGGCCGCAGCGGCAGAGGCGACAGAGGGCAGGAGAGGGGAAGGAGAACACCCCTCAAAGATGGGGGCGCGGGGGTCACCTCGAGAGGCTCCTACAGCAACTATGCTCTTCTCTGCTGCAAGGAGGGCCTTCTCGAGGCTGTCGACTGTGAGGGTGGTGGGACAGACCGCGAGGAAGTGGTCCCGGACTACACGAAGGGAGTCAGGGAGGCGAGTGACTAGGAAGTAGAGAGTGATGTACATGGGGGGGGGGGTTCTTGGCGCAGAAGTCAGCAGGAAGCGCAGCGCGGTAGCGAGTGTCACTAGTGCGGAGGTGCGTGATGAGATCAGCGACAGTGGGAAAGGCGGCAAGGTCAGGGAAGAGGAAGGGGAGCATGAGGCGGCTCAGTGCAGCAGTGGCAGGGGAGGAGTAGCGCGCAACTACAGCGTCGTACAAGGTCTGAGCACTCTTGTACTGGCTAAAGTGCGCGCGCTCAGCGGTTGGCAGGTGGCGACGCACAGCAAGACGTGCAGCAGCATCGCGCGTGGCCCACTGAGAGCGAACAGTGGCGTCAGCATTAGCAGCAGGGGCAGGGACGGCGCCAGAGGTGAGGTCAAAGAGAGACAGACCGTCGGCCCTGTTGCACTGTAAAAACAGCTGCAGGTCGTCGAGCCAGACCTCAAAGTCAATGGCTCGACCCTCAGCGTCAAAAGCGAGGACACTGGGTGTAGCCATGACGACGACAGTGGCGCAGTGCAAGCAGTAG